ATTGATTCATGTTTGTGGCTGTAATGTGACAAAATGTGGGAAAGTTCAAGGGGCCGAATACTTTTGCTGTGTGTGGGTGTGTTGATTCTTACTGCCGCGCATCCAGCAGAGTCGCTACGGCCAGTTTATGACATCCTGAGTCTGGCAGGGAAGTTTTCATGCTGACACAAGATTAATCATAGAAGCACAAAAGTGATATAATTTCATGATGAAGACACAATAGAAGATCATCAGGTAATGAGTTGGAATAAAGTTGAATAAAACCTTGAAACAGAGATGGATGATATTTTATACTTGTTGCTAAACAGTCAAAGCAAACGGAGCCTTTTTGAGCCCAGAGGACAACAGATGTGATTAGAAGTAGTTTAAAAACAGCTTTCTAAATGAACTTTGACATAAACCCGTCTGTGATCATCTGTCAAAGCAGCCGACTCTGGCTGTGAAGCAATAATCACAATAACTGATCATTTAATTTATTTTTTTACCCGAAAACAAAGAAACATTTGGTATAAATTTTATCAGACTTCGATTTGAAATGCAATAAAAATAGTGTCAAAATGTTTGAATTAAGTTTTAATTAAAAGTGGGGAAAATCCACCTCATATTAATTAAGCATCAATCAAACCAGATGAGGACAAGTTTGACCCCTGAGGGCCACAGCTGTGATTATGTGCTGCCATTTAACTTTGATAAATGCTTCAAAGAAACCTTTCTGACTGGAGTTCAACACACAGCACTCTGTGGTTCATCACAGTCAAAATAATCTGAACATTTTCTTGTCTCGTTTTATTTTCGCTCAAAAACAGACGATACTTTATGTAAACAAGGTCTGTGGCCCTAAAATGCAAAGGTCAGTTTTGTGGTGAGGGTGACCCCTGAGGGCCACAGCTGTGAGGAATCTGGAGGACATTATGAGGGCTCGGCTTGCAGCCACTCTCCTCTGTCCATGTCATCTATGACTGTCGTAACCATAAACTGACTTCTATGTAGAAAATGTTGGATGAAGGTTTGGTGACGCACGCCTCGGGGGAAGCCATGCGCACCTTTGTCTACGGCTTCTACTTCTACAGGATAGTGGGAGAGAAGGACGGTGAGTGAACAGGCACGCGGACAAACATCCTTTTACTCGGCGAATACATTTTAAACGTGTGGTTATTCTCATACAGCCGTTTCCCCTGTAGGCGCCACCCCCCCGCTCTCCACCGCTGCAGGCGGGGGCTGGTCCACTGCAGCACTAGAGGATTTTTCCCTGTTCCAAAGAAAGTGGTTCGAGGTGGCCTTCGTGCTGGAGGAGCGGCGCCCCTGCGACCTCCCGGCCTTCCTCCTGCCCTGGCTGCCCAGCCGACCAGCTTCCTACGCAAGTAGGCACAGCTCCTTCAGCCGCAGCTTTGGAGGACGCAGCCAGGCCGCTGCACTGCTAGGTACACCCAGCCCGACCCACACCGTCTAATGCAGTCTGATGCAGATCGTACTGCAGCCTGCCTCAGGGGGCCGGCTGAGCCCAGCGTGTCACCAAAGGTGAACGGGCTGCATTTGTTTGGGGATGTTGGTCCAGTGCTGCACAAGCCAAAGGGGAAATCCTGAGTGCCTGTAGCCTCTGATAGTTATTTAGGATTGGATTATGGCTGTAGCATCACGGCCAACATCTGCTCAACTCTGCACCCTCCAGCTGTTGGCCTTGGATGCATCAACACTCGTGGTTTTCAGTTTGCACACATTTCCTTTGTTCCTTCAGTTTTTGTAGCAGCAGTCCTCACACACACAGACAACTGTAGCACAGCAGTGAATCGATGTGTGACTGCAGTCAGTGGCCCTGATGCACAGTGTGCTTCTGCTTCTTCTTTGCATGTATTTGCAGTTTTCGTAGATTAACAGACGATGCTGTACTGCACCCCAAACTGAAAACGACGAGCCTACATGTAAAACCCACAGACGTAACATCCAAACCTCGTTTACCATCATTCGTGTTTGTCCCTGACGTCGTCCTCCCCCTGCGCCGTCACTGACACAGATGCAGGGCTCAGCTGGCCTCACGGGCGCCTGCAGATCTGCACGGGACAGCTGGCGTTGTGTTCTGCAGTGCATGCACAGTACCTGTAGTTCTAATAGTATCCATGTGATCAAATAGCCCCCTCAGTGCATGCTGTGTGGTTAGTGCATAAGCAGCAGTAGTTGCACTGGTGGTGTGGAGTCTCGGTGCACGCTGTGGTGTCAGTGGCTGTGGGTTACTAGTGCTGTGGTGTGCGTTGTCCTCACCTGTCCCTCTGCTGCCTGCACTCATGCTTGTTTCTTGCTTCCTGCAGCCATTAAATGCATCATTTGTTAAAACATTGCTGTTTTGCAGCTGGACTGGCTTAAATATGGAAGCCACTAAAAAAAAAAAAAAGCTAGTATCCATAACTCGAAATTTCGAGTTACTTTTCTCAAAATTTCGAGTTACTTTTCTCAAAATTTCGAGTTAGCTCTGCCAATCAAAAATATACGTGAATGAGGTCGCTTTCTTGTTACCCGGAAGCATATGGCGCAGGACCGCGCACT